GTACATACATAGTTCTTGCAAGTCTTTGAAGTCTTCATGGAGTTGGAACAGAACAATTCACATCGTTTTCCCACTGCACAGTTACATGTACAGTTGTCATTGTGTGCTACTTTTGGGGTCTCAGTAGTTGGACAGTTGTGTTGGTTCATTCATCCAGTGTCACTTGGTTGAGTAGTTTATAGTAAGCTGTTTTAACAGTTAGCCCTGTTGCACAGGCAAGGATGTACCACTTTACCATGAGCTGAACTGGTAGTTGACAAATTACAGTCAGTGTGTATGGCCATTTTGTGTGGAACATGTAAAGTGCAACATTTCAGGGGAGCCGTTGGAAAGTAGTACACTAATAAGTACGCAAATGCACAGGCACCATTTGCAAATGGACAGTGCCAAATGGAACCATGTTCAGTACCATCAGCTATCCCATGAAAGGTGAGTATTTACATGAGACGTGTTGACTTTACGTGTTGTTTTATGTAAATTTGCTGTAGTTTGGAATGAAGAGTCAATTGTCACATGTGGGCAGTGTAATGTACACACATGTATGTGTCACATGTGCAGAGTTATACCGGTATGTGTGCGCATTTTACAATAATGTGACAAATAACATGGTAGGACATTTACATTTATGTGAACTGGATGGTCTTTGGAAGAAAACAAAGAAGACCATCATTAATTACGTTTGCAACATTGTACTTGTCAATGGAAAACACAAAATTTGTAATGGGAATACACATTTATTTTGAATACATTGTATGTAATAAAGCAAAAACTTTGTCGAAATAGGAACGAAATTTTTAGACACATGAAGCTGAAAACCTGTAACATTAAATGTACGTTTACACGTACAATGTATATGAAAACACTACATGTTTAATTTCTTATGGCATTTACTCAAATGTTATCACTGATTTAAATCAATTAATTTCTGCATGAAAAAGAAATTTTCTTTAAAACTTTTTAAAATTATTTCTTCATTTAATGAATTGTATTTTTATATTCTAAGGCTTCATCCTAGTAATTGGTATAAGATACTGATATAGATGTAAGCCCCATATAACAACAGCATTGACTTATCTTTCCTTTTTGAACCTTTTACCAAAAAGAAGTCGTGATTTAAATCAACTAATATTTCCCAACAATTTTACATGTTCCCAATTTAGAGAAAATTAATTCCTACCAGGTCAACGTACTCAACTGGATAATATACTACAACAAAAAGTTGATGTTTCAATGATTTGCATTACATGGTTCTAATCTCTCATTATTGGAGTTTTTGGGATGCCTTCACGTACATGTATGATACTCTTGGGTCTTCAAGAAGCACTTCTTTGCTGTTGTTATCAAAGAAGAAAATGCTACATGGGCAATTCTGTGAAAATGTCATCCTGAGGGTCATAAATTGTTTTTTATAATAAATGGTCATGTTGGCTACCATTTTGAAGCTGATAAGGTACAGAATACAAAAAATTCACTCAATTTTACATCAGATGCAAAATTGACATGAAAATGGGTGGAAAAAAGCACTTATTGGTTAAAAAGCAAAATTTAATAAATTGCAATTTTAGGTATATTTTGCCAGTTGATTAAGTATATTTTGACAAATTTTCTGGAATTTTGTAATTTTTAAGCAAAAAGCCGCATTTTATTGCCTAGAATTACAAAATTGAATTTGTTTTGCATTTTACCCAAAATCCTGCCGCTTTTAAATTTTACCAAAACTATGTGTCAGTCTGTTTTACCGAAATATTTAAAAAATATTTTTTTAGTCTTTTATATTATTAGAAAAACTCTCTTTTTTGGATTCTCTGTAGTCATCAAGCTATGAACAAAATTGACAAAGAAAATTCATGTACCATTTTGTTATTATTGAAATAAACCATGGTAACAGACTTACGCCGGCCCTGTGGTAACAGACTGACGGTAACAGACTGACACATGTACAAGTCTATGGCTCTAGATGCAAGGCATTGTGGGTAAAGTGCATAGTTAAATCAGTGGCCCAGGTGAAGGTATTCTGACCACTACTTCAGCCATGTGCTTTGGCCTATTTTCTTGAAATTTGGCAAGAATGTTGGTTGGTAGGTACTTAATAAGTTGAACTCATTTGGTTGTGCTACTGCCACCACAAGAGGGCACTTTACTTTTTTATGTTTTTAAAATTTTTGGTCAAAAAACAGTATTTTGGGCATAATTTGTACATTTTGCATTCAAATTCTTTCAAATTTGGTACAAATATTGTTTGAGTCAATATAGAAACATTCAAACAACCTTCCCCATCCTACGGCAACACTAGAGGGCGCTGTGTCAACTTTTTGGGTAAAATTATCATTTTTCTTTATTTTGGCCCGAAATTTGAATTTTTTTAAAACAGGAAAAGAACATGACAAAGAGGTCATACATGTAGGTTTACTGTACATGTTGCACATGAACTCAGAGCATGTCAGTCTGTTACCACCGATGTCAGTCTGTTACCGAGCATATTTTTGATCACGCCATTTGATTTACGAAAACCACCACCATTTATAAACAGCAAGGACTTAGCTTTATAATATATTTAGTGTACCATTACTTTTTATTTGCCAACTTCACAGAGTTTTTCCACTGAACACTCAGTTTGGAAAAGGCAGGATGCACAAGTGTCAGTCTGTTACCATGGCAACACATAAGTTTACCGGACCCCGACAAAGAATAAATTTGGAAAGAAAAACTGCAGGTTAAAGGGGCACTTGCAATGAACAAAAATTTACTTGAGTTTGGGTCCTTACTTACTACAACAACCTTACAGAAGGGATACATTGTGAAAACCCCTCCCAAGATGTCAGTCTGTTACCCATGGAATTGCCCACATGTTTCTTTTCTTGCATTTGTTCAAGATTTAAATATGTGTAAATCAACAACAGTTACATGTAAGTGATGTAATGTACAGTGTGATCCCTCCAAATGCATTGCAAGTAAAGGCAAACTCTTCAGATGTCTTTTCTACAGTACTTTGGAAGGATTTCTTCCTGTGTACCACATGTAAATCAGCACAAACAGATTATACACGTATTATCCAAATTCTAAAGGTAGCGTCCAATTTTCATCATTTGTAATTTGTGCATTATGTTCGTTTAAAGCAACAAAAGTGCTCAAATCTAAAGAAGGTTACTGAACAACTAACCTCATGAAGAACTTTCAGCTCAATGAATGCTGTATATTCTGAGAAAACAATATTCTAGGGTCTCGAGTTCAATCAAAGGTTGCTGAGTCATGTTTTGAAGTGGGCCTGAATTCAGCGTCAGGGACACATTCTCACTGAGCCGATTGCAGCCAGGCGATGTCCCGCACTGAACCGACAAATTATAGCAACCGCGCGTGCTTCGCCGAATACAAAAAAAAATAAACCTACTGAAATATGCGTTGGTGAAGGGCAAAACCTAATTTGATTTACATCACCCCGATGCAAAATTCCCTCTTATGAAATCTGATGTTGAAGTCACTATTATTCAAAGCCTTTTTTATCATTTTTTTGTCTCATAAAAGTTTAAAAGATTGAAGTAACAGCAAACAAAAGTAGTTTCCAATGTATTGTTGATACATGAAAAAACTGCATACTGAAGTCCTCAGAAGTCCTTGTAAGGGCCACTGTAGAATGCTCAGGTCTGATGGCAGGACACATAATCTTCATGATTGAAGTGCCTGCCAAAGCAACTACTTATTGGCAATCTCTGTGGAGGTATGAGTTCTGTAGAAGAGCAGAAAAAATTACGCTGAGTTCTGTAGAAGAGCAGAAAAAATTAAGCTCATAATACTCACTGAAAGTTTCCTTGAAGTCGAGGTTGCTTCTTGGAAGACATATGCACAAGGTCGCCGCTTTGTCTAATGCCGGCAAGTTTAGCCACGATGGCCTTGGCGAAAGGTTACAAAGACACCAAATCCAAAAAGCGCAGATATGCGTGCTGCTTGAAAGGCCAGAGCTGCCAGCACGTCTACATGTACCTCTGAACATACCTATGTGGCCTACATGTGAGAGAGGCTTCCATGCATGAATCAGTCATCTCTGGACTCATGGGTGGGTGCGTTGGATTAGCTCACATAGGGAAACTCAGGTTATCCCAATGCTGTTCAATTAGCTCTGATGTCATTCTCGGGGCTCACCCGGGTCAGGCACCATATACCCTGCTTGTGGAATGGAGTGATTGGTGAAAATATGCCACACGCATGTGTTCTTCATTCCAAGAAAAGGAAAAGGTGGCCAGACAGAGGAACAGACTAAGTGGACCTAAACATCAACTTTATTTGAAGTCTAAACATAATTAGTTATTGATCTCTGCAAGGTTAGAGGCTGTAATTCTGGCCCTATGTTATTACTTTGTGTGATTAACGGGAAAGCAGTAGGTCTCAAAGTAAGACTCGGTCCGAAATGGGCTTTTTGTCAATGACTATGGCTGCAGCTACAGACATCATGTGATGGTCCACATTTGAACATTCAATTAGCACGGCTCTCATGCCTAACCCATCTGCATTTACCCAAGTTGACTTGGGTGAGCTAATCAAACGAGCTACTGAAACCGTTCAGCAGAAGTCTGAAGCCAGAAGGCATATGTGTACATGCACATTGGAAAATTACTCGGAGCCAGACTCGACCATGATGACTCGGACTCGAGCTTGGTGAATCGTGACTCGAGTCACGTATTTTCATCAAAAGAAAAAACATAACGTTACGTATTTATGAGACGAATGTAGCATTCTTTTTTACTCCATAGACAGAACAAGGCACCGCAGAAAATCGGATCCGGGGGCCGCGCACGCATGCCTAGCACGTCAAGCACCAGGACCTGGTGTCATGCCAAAAAGTGTCCGGTACCAAAGAGTGTCTGCTTACGAAGCACACCGGATGCACGCTGTAGTGTGTGAACATGTACATGTTTCCTCTGCTATGCTTGGCAAATTGTTTTTGTCATGATAGCTGAAAACACTTTCATCGTCATCCTCATTTTTTAGTTACTTTTCTTTATTAGCTTGGATTCGGGTGGCTATTCATCCTCTGCCTATGATCGCCATGTGCAGCAGCAGCAGCAATCTGGGAAATCTGTGGCCAACAGGGTGCAAAAACAGTACTGGGTGACGAAACAGGCCGTCATCAAGAAACTAGGCCGAAAAGAAGATGAGTTTGTGGTGGCAGGTGACTCGGAGCTTGATGCTAAACTAGAGGTGAGTTTATGTATGGGTCTTTCCATGGGCAATACTTTGTGACATTCTGCCAATTAAGTATAAGGGGTTGCTGATAAGAGACACCAAAATAATATAAATAATGTTTGTTTCGACTCTTCATTGTTTAAGGAAGTCTGTGAGCATTGGGATGCTTTTCAGCATGACATTTTAAAGTAAAACAGGTTGACAATGTAACATGGATGCCACACCATTTTTACCATAATATTGGTGAGTATTTAAAAGTTTTATGTACTCCTTTCCCCGAATGAATTGCTGAGAACATAGCTGAAATCCGCTTGTTGATTTATGTCGCACTTTTTGAATTTTTGGGAAATTAACAGATTTTATTATGGGATAGCATTATGACTTCACAGTAAGTTCTTTCCTTGTAGGGTATAAAAATGGATCGATTTGCAATTAACAAAAATAGCAAGGGTGCTTAAAATACAAGAAAAGGCAATATACCATTTCTTCTATTTTCTGCATGTAAAGTTTGGAAACTTTAAGCTGGCCCCTAAACTGTTTTAAAAATATCCAAATGCTCTGAAACTTTCTTAGCCCCTCCACACCAGCTGACGGCTGTAGCCGCACTCTGGTATGCCGTGGTACATGTATATGGTCTGAAGGCAGCTGCTATTGTGCAGTGCTGCTACTGCCACTACTGCACAAAGGCTACTGTGCAGTGATGCTTGTTCAAACAACTTGAACAGTTACAATCAAAATTAACAATATTAATTAGTTACACTGAGTGACCCCATAATCTTAATTTTCAAATTGTGTTATAATCTTACAAAAAGTGTACAAAAAAATTAGGTTTATAACTGTGGCAATGCAGACTAAGTCATGACCCAAGTTTGGAAGGCCACGCATGACTTCAAACATGTCAAGCAAGCTGTTCTTTAGAGATGGAGACACCAATGGGACTCGTGGCGCAGACCAGACTGTTTTACAAAAATAATGTAGCTGAAATGTGAAGCACATGATGCATAGAATAGCAAAGTATTTCAGGAGAGGGGAGCAAAGTTTTAGCAAGAGAAACTCAGGGGCAATCATTTTAATGAACAGGAAAAACACATATATGTTGCTGACAGGGCAGTTAAGCAATCTAACTCCACATCTTTAGAACTAGAAAAGAAAATTCACTGCATTGCTTGGGAGTGGAACAGTGCCAGCTTTTGTTCTGCGTCTAACCCTGCTGTATGTATCACGCCTCTGAAGTCATGTTCTGTGCAGTTTTATGTGCACCGTATGTGATCATATGGCTATTTCTTTTTCAGAATTACATGTATTTTATGTGAGCATGAATTTATAAATTTATTGTACATAAATTTATTGTACAATAATTGTTTTGATGATCATTGCTTTACAGGTGTTCCATTCAATTCAGAAAACCTGCATGGACCTATTAAGAATAATAGAAAAATTTCAAGATAACTTATGCGGTGAGTGATCTTTGCTTATCAAGCTATCATTTTTTACAGAAGTATGATTGATGGCAATAACCCTTGAATGTCCTCAAATTTGGCGTACTTCAATTTCCCACTGACACCATTAGCTGAGTAAAAGTTTCATCCAAGACTGCACAGAAAGCGCAAATATCCATCACTATCTTAAGATTCATGACCTGTTTAACACTTACCGTAATTTCCTGCGGATAAGACGCGTCTTATTTGACTTTCTATACCACAAAAACATCGCTGCGCCTTATCTACAGGTGCGCCTTATCTGGTGTCGCTTGAGTTCAAAGTGACGGTCTTTGTGTGAAGAATTCTTTCAATGCCGCAATCAATAATGCGGTCAACCAAGGCTCAACTCTCCAGACATTGTGACCGTATTTTCATTCCAACAATGCCGCGATGTGTTGATCCCCCATGATCGTGCTTTCATTCCAACAATGCCGCAATGCGTTGATCCCCCTTAGTGATCGTGCTTTCGTTCCAACAATGCCGTCATACAAACTTTTTTCTTTGTGGCCGTTTTTTTCATTCCGAAAATGCTGTTGCATTTATTTGTTGCACTTTCGTTTGTTTCATTAAACGTTCAAATCGTTCATTTATTAATTGCCTCTTTTTAGACGTTTGTTTTAAAAAGTATTATGGGAATTTGTATTATCTAACACCGCGTTCCCACTTGAATTGGAAAAAGGTGGATCAAGATCCGGCATTTTGGTGTGATCGTTATCTTACCGCAACGAAACCGCAAGTCGCGTTCCCACTTATGCTTGATCCACCTTTTCGTACGGAAATGTTGGGTCCGAAAGGTCACTGAGTTCGGAATTACGCGCGCTCTGTGGGAGTGCCATTGTTGCATGGTTGCATGCTAGGCCAGGATGGGTCAGTTTTCAAACTGCACTATCAGAATTCACAGACAAAAAATTACGCGAATTCACCAACATAAATCACGGATCCGTAGAGGATCCGTGCGTGCATAAATTAACAGGTGAAATCCAACAGAGCCGCTCATTGTGTGACATCACGGCAGAAACCAATGCATCGATAAGGGATTCCCTGGTTCTGAAGCTTCTCATTGGTTAGAAACGGTCACATGATGTACTACGACATCATTTTCCAATTTTCTATGGTTAGAAACGGTCACATGATGTACTACGACATCATTTTCCAATTTTCTATAATCAATACTTCAGATTTGTCACCTCGGTACGTACCGCGTTATCGGCACTATTCTCATCCGCATACTCGTAAGCTTTTCCATGATTCTGTGCCAAAGTGAAGTCTTTTGGTGAGTGCGGACTCAGAGTCATTTATGGATGGAAAAATAAGTACAATTTCAGGAATGAAAAAGGTTTAGTAATGGACGAACACGCAACAAAAATAAGGCCTATAGTGTAGTTTTAGGATACCACGTGCGCTTTTGCATGCGCGGTGCTAGCCCGTAGTTCAGCGGTTGTTTATTGTGCATGTTGTATACGCTGGAAATGTTCACATGAGCTACACGCCTGAAAACGTGTTTCTTCGTTCATGAGACCGCAACATGTTCGCGCCACTCGTGCACCGGGCGGATGTTAACAGGTCAAATTGCCGGATCAGAATGGATGAAGGTCGGTATCAATTTACATTGGTCTTTTCTCCATTGGCTCTACATGTGACCAGCCAATGTGGTTACGGTTTAATTCATCCTCCGAATAGTGTGATCTTTCTAAGGCAACACAATGGCCCCTTTGTGGCGATGTACCGACACCGGGTGACGCCTGGTGTTCTTCTGTGTGCGGTCAAACATGCGTCTTATGCGGCGGTGCGCCTTATCTGTTGGCGTTTGAATTTTTTGGGGGTGATTTTAGGGACCTGCGCCTTATCTGCCGCGCGCCTTATCCGCAGGAAATTACGGTACAAGTTGTAAACTTTAGTTTTAAAGAAAAATCAGAAATTTACTTTGAAATGTGCAGAGAAAAAAGCAAATGGTCCCAGAATGCACATCATTCTATTAAATTGATTCCAAATGGCTATTCATTGGAACTTTAATAAGTAGAAGTCTTTTCGTGCACATTGGGCTGGATTTAGCACATCCAGTGGTGTTTAGGATAATCCTATATGATAGCACTGCCCTGCACACAAGTAACATTGAGTCAGTCAGACAGACAATGATAAAGAACAAAGAGAATACTAAGCTGGCCCCCCTGCGACCAGAATAATACTTGAATGGAGATAATTATGGTTAACCTTGAGCCTTTCTTGAGATTTGGCAAGGAACTCATGGTGGCATGGGTGGCTAGTGCATGAATTAGTGCTCGCCTCTCACCACTGTGGCCCTGGTTCAAATCCTGTCCGCGGACCATACATGTACATGCCATGTGAGTAGAGTTGTGCGCTCGTACTCTTCTGTGCCACGAGGGATTTTTGTTTTCTTTGGGCCCTCTGGTTATCCTCCCAGAAAAAATAAAAAAAATTTGATCTCAGGCTGTGTACCATGGTCATATATGGGTCGGTGTGGCTGGCTGTCAGAGGTGCCTTTACATGTAAGCAGAGAAAACCAGCATAACAAATAAAACATACAGACAGTATGCACAACTCATCTAAGGCGGCGTTGGGCTGCCCATGAGCATTGTAAAGTTTGGCAAGAATTTCTGGAGTTACCTGCTCCTTCCTGGTAGGACTTGAGGCTGTGAGTCTCCTGTAGCCTTGAAGGGTTGTCTTGACCATTGGGTGAGCTGTAGGCGATTGTAGGCTGGCTTAGTTGTGCGCCCATTTGGCTGTGACTGCATCGGATTTGCTCCCGGTAGCGTAAAGGGATGATAAGTAGAGAGCAAAAGCCATGGGCTTGATCAGAAAGACCTGGATATTGATCTTGGATGAGGCCATCTGGCTCCCTCTGCTTCCCTGGGGCCTTTTTTTTTTGGTTATGGATTCTGCTTTTCCTGACAGAAGAAGCTAAGGCAAAGGACCGGTGGCGAGCTTGCGAAGTTCTGGGTTTCTGGTGGAATGGGCAAGCGTTGAACATCTGTCTGAAAAAAAAAACTCGTGGAGGAAACGTGGGCGCGACCAGGATGATGAGCAAAAATCATGCCCTTTTGCTCCAAGCAATTGAAAGACAAAGCAGTATAAAGTCACAAACTGCAGTACCACTGTGATTGTTTGATATGGAATGCTCCCGGGTTGCGAGGTTAAGCTACTCGACTGAGAATGAATTCATGCAGACAATGCCAAGCTTTCAAGCGGAATTCAGGAATGTGTTATGTAATAGGACGCGCTCTTTAGGCCAAAAAAAAAATAGTTTTGCTTCCGGTTACCCGACCGACCCTATTTTTAGGCTGGGACCCTAAACATTTTATTGGCAATTCCAAAAAATATAATAATAATAATAATGATTGAATTAATAAAAATAAAATCTTGTTGTCTTTTCTGTCTTTACAAAATATCTCTCAACACCCTTTTGCGTCAAAAAATGCTTGTATTTATTTGTTTTCTTACTTACATTTACTTTTTTTTTCAAAAGAAACCTCCATTATTTTTTACAAATTCGCTTCGCGATATAACTACTTTGCAATTCGATGTCACGGTGACTATAAACACGTGCGTAAACCTAGCTCAATGCAGTGATGACTGGTTCCCGCTGCACTGCGCAGGGGCCAATTTAGAAGACATGATGAAAATGTGGTAACCAGTCCATGGCTATGCGATCGATAGTGCTAGCATGTGCATTGCAGGCCCATGCACTGTCAACTGGTCGGATTCGACATCTTAAAATGCCAAGAAAACACAGATGAAGAAAGAACATCTAGCTTGTCTGTGTATGTATTTTCCGTGTTCAAGAGTTCATTTTGAGATCGCACTACTCGTATTTGGAGTGATACGATGCCGCATGTCTCCCGAAATTTCCGACCGTAAAAACGAGGTCTGTCAGCCTATGGTCGGCCGCGCGCCACACATGCACAGTGCATCACACACCTCAGAGTTTTGGCCAGCTTCCCATCATGACTAGCGTTGTGCATATGGTGCGAACGACCTGAATTTTCCATTATTTTTTTAAAGAATTATCTAACGTAAATATGTTGACAATAATTAAGTGTTTTTTTTGGCCTTACCTGTTGTATGATAACGAAAAGAAAAACAACATCTACAAACTGAATATGAAACACCGCATTTTTCTACACTCCCAACCTGTGGGAGGGCCCTAGAATTTATACAAAGTCAGAGCTGCCAGCATAATGATGTTATGCTATTATAATGCACATGTCCTGGCTCATTGCGATTCCAACCGAATGGATTCAACTAATTTGGCTTTAACTTTGAATAAAATAAGGAGACAATTGAGCGTGGATTCGTTAAACTCACAAGGCATGTACGCATAACTCAGTCCACACGCACAGTGCAATGCATAGTCAACTGTACATTTGACACCGGAAGATGCTCTGTATGTGCCAAGGCGTATTGTTTCATAGTGATTTGCTTTTTTCAAAAAATAAGTTTTCTTTGGCAAGATTTCTTGATACTGAACGTTTAAGCACCCCTTCTGTTCATAGGGAAAACTAATGAACATATAGATACGGGCAGCTCTGCCCATTGAGAAAAACTATCGTGTACGTGCCCCCGGTCAAGATAATGCGAGTCAAAGCACTTTATAGACAATGTGTGATGGATTTCCCATGCAGTTTTGGTTTTCGTGGGTCTTTGAAATGGCATCAACTGCGGTGACTAGCGATAAATATGCTACAATGCAGGCCTACGGTCTACATTTCAGCAGGCATACCTGAAAAAAATTCTGGATCCAACCTGCAACCCCCCCCCCCAAAAAAAATGTTGGTTCTAGAACCGCGCCTGAGCCAGCGACTGGATGATGGCACCCATAGACCAGGAACAAAGTAGCCACTAGGAAGTTGTCTTACATTTTATACAGATGTTTCGGAAACTTTGTGGGTTAACATTAACAAATAAGGGAGTAGCTTTACAAGAATGGACCTTACTGATTAGGCAGACCCAAGTTTTACAAAATGAAGATGATTGAATCGGCGAACAAACTCATGTTCCCTGCTGCCGCATATCATTAGTTTCAGCTGACCTGCTAACGCATGAACGTCAATTTACTGAGGCTTATGGAAAGCATGATTCTTCAATTTTGAAAAATACTGATTTTGGACTGAAAATACAGATTTTTGGCTTCAAGAATACTGATTTGGGGATTTGGAGGTCAGCAGCTCTGCAAAGTGGCATTGACATTCAGTGCATGTTGAAAAAAATTGACACAGAGACTCAGAAACAAGTGGGTTAGAAGTGGTTGCCATTCTTGGGGCTTCTGTCCCATTAAAAATGTATCAACCAGCAAAATGCAGATGTTTTAGAAATTTTGAAAGTGACTTTAATGGAATTTGATTGATTTTTTCCAGCTCTTTCCCAGGATGAAAATGCCATGGGTCGCTTCCTTAAATCACAGAGTAGTCATGACAAGACAAGGGCTGGCAAGATGATGGCTGCTGTAGGAAAGGCACAGATTGTTTCCTCGGAACAAAGGTCAGAGTAAAGATAGTAAATATAGTCTGCTCATTATGCATCTTTTTCTTTCTTTCATTGTACAGTATGAAGCCCCAAAAGTGGACAAACCAATTTTCCCATTCCTGCTAGTTCATTTTTAGATGTTTTTAAGTTCCGTCTTCCGTTTGAACAATGTCAAATTGCTGCAAGCAAAAATTTGGATTTTATTTTGATGTGGACAAACTAAAACACAAATTTTCTAGAAAAAAAGATTTGGCTTGAATGGTTTACAGATTGCAGAATTTCCAATTGGCTACAAGCAGAAATTGATTGTTGACTTGTTTAGATGAAAGTGGTTTCTTTTTGAGACAAGAAGTAATTATTGCATGCCTCCGTTCCAATGAGAGTGTCCATTGAAGGCTCATCGACTGTGATTCCATAAGGTGTCTGGAAAATATACTTTGATTGACCTTTGTTTTACGCATTTTCAAGAATAATTCACTGGCTATAACTTCTGTCTTGAGTACAGTAGTTGTTAGAAATTTTCCCTTCAGGAATACATTCCAAAATCCATTTGATATTACTGTACAAATTTGAAAAGTCTTTTTTACTCAGTGGCGCGGGCAGACCACAAAAGGATCGAGAAAGCTCACTGCGACTGCAGTACTAAAAAGAACAATCACTTGAATCGCTGCATGACCGATGCATCAATGCCTCAATGGACAAGTACTGTCATCAAAATATATGAAAACGTTCAACCCATTTGTTTTGCAGTAGAAAGTTTTACTTTTTTGTTACAAACAATTGTTGTTAAGTATTTAATTTATTCTGTTTGCTTTTTCCGTGGGCTAGAGCTGCTTATGTTGGTTGGTTGGTGGGTAGTGCTGCAACTGATCCTCAAAGTTCGGTTTGGTTCGGTTGCAGTTCGATTTTTTTTCTCCGAACTTCAGTTCGGTTTGGCTTAGGAAGTGCATACATAATGTACATGTCCATTGTGCAATGTATTGGGCTACAATGAAAAGCATATAGGCCATTCCCCTGTTCGAACTTACACGTACCACACACGTCTGACAGAAATAGGCACCACAATTTCCACATGCTATACAACACAAGTTGAAGGATGAATCTTATTTTTGTTGTGTAAACAAAATACCGTTATAATTTGACTTGATGACGTTGAGAAATGAACATCGTAAATTGCTACCGTGTTACCGAACTGTGATAACATTTTCCCACATGTGCTGATGATTTTCCCGACGAGTTCAGCTGTCCAAGCATGCCCTGATGAGCACTAAAAACTTGCTTCGTGGCAATAATTGCTGATTAATGCAGATTTTGTTTTGTCCCTGCAAGGGCGGATCCAGAACTCAATTTTGGGGGGGGCCCAAAAAATTTTTGGTCCCCCCAAAAAGTGGGTCCAAAAAATTACGGCGTGGGGTTTGGGGCCCGCTTAAGGGCCCCAAAATATTTTTGGATTCTAGATGCTCTGTGGTGCGATCTGAGGCCATTTCTGACCACTTAAACCAATTTTTTTTGAGGAAAAGATGGTGGTGTACTCATTGCCTGCCTTTATTGCGATGTCACATAAAAACAAAAAAAAATTGGTTTCGTTTTTTGGGGGGGGGGGGCCATGGGCCCCTTTGGCCCCCCCCCCCCCCCCCCTGAATCCGCCCTTGTGTCCCTGCAGTGTACTAGTGGATTTAATGCAGGGATTTCTTTTGTCCCTGAAATGTGCATGTATGTATAGGGATATCACCTTTTGCAACACATATGCAAACTTTGACATGAGCTAGTAACAAAACAACATTTTATACCCCCTATTTACATATTTTGTAGAAAACATGTTGAGGTGTAATTTTCATCAGAGTTTGTCTCAAGTTCACTTGATCCACAAGGTCAAATTCAAGTTCAAAGTAAAGGTCAAAAGGTCATCATACTTCAAATTACTCTAACATGAAAAGAATGGTAAATTTGGATTCCTTATGATGTTACCTTTCCAAAGCAACCAGGAACAACAAATTTGGCACACAGGTTATTGAGATATGGTCAGTTTAAAATTTGTGGCCACACTCATTTTGACTAAAATTGCCAAGCAATGGTGGGTGGTAGCGCGAAAACCGTTCATCGGATGGTGCTTAAACTCTAAATTTCAGCTTTTTCAACCTAAATTAACCCCATTCACTAAATATGAGCAATTTTGAAGGGGGTGGGGTTTAACCCATTGGGTGATTTGGCACGGAATGACCCTTTGGTTACTTTTATTGAAAGGTGCACTTATAAACATTGAACATTTTCCATGCTTTTCCAGAGAGTGTTGTTGCTATGATGTCATTTCAGGACGACACTGTTCAGTTTAGTGGTTTTCTGTTCAAATTGTGAACCCAAAATCTGCTCATTGAAAACATTTGTGAGAAAGCTTGCTCATTTGCTTACTGCCATGTACCTACGTAGCAACGGATAATCAAAGAAAAGAACATTAGCGACAGCAAAATATCCAAAATTCTAGCCTTTTTAGTGCTGAAATAGCTGTAACATCGGGGTTTCTTACTGGAATAACATCACAGTTTTGCGCATATGGAAATTGGCATTAGCATAAAACAAAAAAGGCACCAAAATTCCCAAGAAAATGGCAAAACGATAATTGAACATTTTGTTCAATGGGACACAAAGGTACATTTTCAAGGATTACATTACATAAATTACATTGCATGGGCCCTTTTAAAGCCTTTTATCCTATACCAAACTTGGCACTGGCAGCGATCCTTTATTAAAGATCGTGCATTGAAGAGTAACTTCAAGATGACATCCTGATTGTCCATAAACATCAAAATTAACATCAATGTAAAAAAAACAACAGGGGACAAGGAAACACTGGGACAAAATGAACACCATTAGGTCAGTAAATGTTAGATAAGGGTAATATAATAATGTAATGAGCTTTAAGCTTTGTAAAGATTAATTTTAACAAACCTTCATTTGGTCTTGACCATTTTCATCGTCTTTTTTTACATTCCCAGATTAGGCCTTAGGGGCCCACTTGTTCGCCTGTACCAGGAGATTGAAACATTTCGATACCGAGCCATCTCAGATACTCTGATGACCATCAATAGGATGGAGGGTGCCAGACTAGAGTATAGAGCCGCCTTACTGTGGATGAAGGACATCTCCAAGGAACTAGACCCAGACACCTACAAGCAGCTGGAGAAATTCAGAAAGGTAAACCATTTGTATTGAGCAGTCACCCTGCAGACAAGTGACTGAAACAACGAAAACACTAGAGGTTCGCATTTGTTGAGTTACAAACGCAGAGTGGTTGGGCAGACAACTATTTCGTTAGACACTGCCTAGTTAAGTTATGAATGTTTTAATGTCAGAACAAAGATCATGAACTTTAACCTTTCCAGTACAACCAATTATTTTGTACAAAAGAACGCATCCATTAGGGTATGATAAATTTCAGTATACATTTTAGGTACACGTACAAGTTATTTTCGGTTTGATGACGTCCTCAGTCAAAAAGGGAAAGGGAATACTGAATTAGTTCAACAAGGATACATGTTTATCATTAAGTAAAAATGACGCATGGAAATATGGAAATTATACGTGTATGTAATTTGATGATGTCACAGTATTTGGAAGCAAAGGTTCAACATTAAGTGTAACAAAAGTCATTATTTGGGCTAGGAACAAAGTCATGAGACAGATATCAAATGATAGATTTAAATTAAAAAGAAAATGATCAAATTAGCCCTACAGTAACTTCCGGTCTGATGACGTCATGATTATGAAACCTTGCAAATTTATTTGTGGTTGCTCACGGAATATATAGGGGTAATTTGGTAGAATTTTGATAGATGGTGGTTCCACCCTCTATCAACCACCTCACTAGAATGGCCAGAACCACCTCAACAGAATGGCCAGAACCACCGCACCAGAATGGCCAGAACCACCTCAACAGAATGGCCAGAGCCACTCACACCAGAATGGCCAGAACCACCGCACCAGAATGGCTAGAACCACCTCAACAGAATGGCCAGAGCCACTCACACCAGAATGGCCAGAGCCACTCACACCAGAATGGCCAGAACCACCTCAACAGAATGGCTAGAACCACCACACCAGAATGGCCAGAACCACCTCACCAGAATGGCTAGAGCCACTCACACCAGAATGGCCAGAACCACCGCACCAGAATGGCCAGAACCACCTCAACAGAATGGCCAGAGCCACTCACACCAGAATGGCCAGAACCACCGCACCAGAATGGCCAGAACCACCGCACCAGAATGGCCAGAACCACCTCAACAGAATGGCCAGAGCCACTCACACCAGAATGGCCAGAGCCACTCACACCAAAATGGCCAGAGCCACTCACACCAGAATGGCCAGAACCACCTCAACAGAATGGCCAGAACCACCTCAACAGAATGGCCAGAGCCACTCACACCAGAATGGCCAGAACCACCGCACCAGAATGGCCAGAGCCACTCACACCAGAATGGCCAGAGCCACTCACACCAGAATGGCCAGAACCACCTCAACAGAATGGCCAGAGCCACCACACCAGAATGGCCAGAGCCACTCACACCAAAATGGCCAGAACCACGGCACCAGAATGGCCAGAACCACCTCAACAGAATGGCCTGAGCCACTCACACCAGAATGGCCAGAACTACCGCACCAGAATGGCCAGAATCACCTCAACAGAATGGCCAGAACCACCGCACCAGAATGGCCAGAACCACCTCACCAGAATGGCCAGAACCACCTCAACAGAATGGCCAGAGCCACCACACCAGAATGGCCAGAGCCACTCACACCAGAATGGCCAGAACCACCGCACCAGAATGGCCAGAACCACCTCAACAGAATGGCCAGAGCCACTCACACCAGAATGGCCAGAACCACCGCACCAGAATGGCCAAAACCACCTCAACAGAATGGCCAGAACCACCGCACCAGAATGGCCAGAACCACCTCACCAGAATGGCCAGAACCACCTCAACAGAATGGCCAGAGCCACTCACACCAGAATGGCCAGAACCACCGCACCAGAATGGCCAGAACCACCTCAACAGAATGGCTAGAACCACCTTACCAGAATGAACAGAACCACCTCTCCAGAATGGCCAGAATCACCTCACCAGAATGGCCAGATCCACCTCACCAGAATGGCCAGAACTAGGGCTGTGCATCGGAACTGGGTACCCGAGTACCCGACCATTAATGTCAGGAACCGGTTCCAGATTATGGAATTGAGTACCCGTAACCAACTTTACATATTACTTAGTAACTTCTCAGTCAATGAAAAAGAAATGCTTCAAATGTCAGTGGGACAATTTCAAAATGAAAAATAGGATACACGGAAAACCAAAACCAATGTCACGTTTTATGATGCTTGCACAAGTTGCAGTTTTCGCCACATAGCTAAAGAGCTCACTGTATACATCTTTTCTAGCCGTATTGCCGCACCAGTGTGGTAGTATTATCATGCGGAGCTTTATGAACAATCTGAAGAGCAACTTCCCAAATTTGAATTTTTGGCTCAGGTTTCCTTAAGGGGTACCCGGGTACCCATATTTTTTTTCAATAGGGTACCCGGTTCCTGTACTACCCGTAAATTTACACCCCTAGCCAGAACCACCTCAACAAAATGGCCAGAACCACCTCATCAGAATGGCCAGAGCCACCACACCAGAATGGCCAGATCCACCTCACCAGAATGGCCAGAACCACCTCAACAGAATGGCCAGAACCGCCTCAACAGAATGACCAGAACCACCTCAACAGAATGACCAGAGCCACCACACCAGAATGGCCAGAACCACCGCACCAGAATGGCCGGAACCACCTCACCAGAATGGCTAGAACCACCACACCAGAATGGCCAGAACCACCTCAACAGAATGACCAGAGCCACCACGCCAGAATGGCCAGAACCACCGCACCAGAATGGCCAGAACCACCTCACCAGAATGGCTAGAACCACCTTACCAGAATGAACAGAGCCACCTCACCAGAATGACCAGAGCCACCACACCAGAATGGCCAGAACCACCTCACCAGAATGGCCAGAACCACCTCACCAGAATGGCTAGAACCACCTCACCAGAATGGCTAGAACCACCACACCAGAATGGCCAGAACCACCTCAACAGAATGACCAGAGCCACCACGCCAGAATGGCCAGAACCACCTTACCAGAATGGCCAGAACCACCTCACCAGAATGGCTAGAACCACCTTACCAGAATGAACAGAGCCACCTCACCAGAATGGCCAGAATCACCTCACCAGAGTGGCCAGAACCACCTTACCAGAATTACCAGAACCACCTCACCAGAATGGCCAGAACCACCTTACCAGAATGGCCAGAACCACCCCCATCAGAATGACCAGAACTACCTTACCAGAATGGCCATAACCACCTCACCAGAATGGCCAGAATCACCCCACCAGAATGGCCAGAACCACTTCACCAGAATGGCCAGAACCACCTCACCAGAATGGCAAGAACCACCTTACCAGAATGGCAAGAACCACCTCACCAGAATGGCCAGAATCACCCCACCAGAATGGCCAGAACCACCTCACCAGAATGGCCAGAACCACCTTACCAGAATGGCAAGAACCACATCACCAGAATGGCCAGAACCACATTATCAGAATGGCCAGAACCACATTACCAGAATGGCCAGAACCACCTTACCAGAATGGCCAGAACCACCTCACCAGAACGGCCAGAACCACCTCACAAGAATGGCTAGACCCACCTTTTTATACCAGAGTGGTCAGAACCACATTACCAGAATGGCCAGAACCACCCCACCAGAATGGCCAGAACCACCCCACCAGAATGGCCACAGCCACCTTAGGGTTGGTGACCATTCAGCCCTGGTTCGAAAAGGGTCTCCTGGTGAGCTCGCCCGCTAGCAAAAAGCCGTTTCGTACCGGACTAGCTATCGGCCCAGGAGGCTGGTCCAGGAGGCTGGCCCGATGGATGATCACCAACTCTCCCATCCTGGGGTCTATTGTCCCATCCAGGGGTCTAAGTGTTGACACATGTAATCTATCCCAGAAAAAGCCCGCTTGTGGTTTTCATCCCCCAATGCGCAAAAATAGAGCCCCTTTGCCGGCACAGATCAAAACCTGTGCCATGTGGCTTGGCACACAATGGGACTTGGAACTTGTCGCAAACATGGAATATAAATACGGTAACATTATGGAATCAAAAATTATTACCAAAAAGTAAAGTACATGTATAATAAGTAAATAAAAGATACCCTTTTGGGACTGGAGTTACAGAGCTCGTATCAGGAGCTTGCGACACCATCACGGTGTCTTTATCAACTAGTGTTGTTGAGGCCCTCACGTGACCCGTCACGTGACCATGCTTGGTCACACGACAGGAGGCGGTTGTACACGTGGGCCAGCTCGTACCCTCCATCTCTGTTCAACATGTATGTTGGAAACGTTTTACGAACAAATCCCCCCCCCCCCCCCCACATTTTATCAGACCAGCAGTGGTACTTGAACAGATCGGTAATCTCTGCCACAAGTCTGTAATCCCATAAGTCGTCTTTTGTTCTGCTCTGGACGTTCCCCAAGGGGCAATAAAAACAATGAAAAACATAAGCTCTTGAAATACATGTAAGGAATAATGGTGTCACCTTGTGAGGTCTGTGCTCTGTGGATTTCAATGTGCATTACATGTTATTCCACTATGTATTTGGTTTCAAATGTGAGTCTTTTTCCTGTGAAACTATGGATATTGTGTTATTGAAAGCAAGCTGAGCGTTTATTACCTTATTCTCTGTTCCTTGCCTTTGATTTTATTTGCCGCGACGACCACCATGCCGCCGAGAGAATGAATCACTATACTGCACTATTAAGTACACGTACATGCACGTACACGTACACGTACACTGGTACCTTGCTTTCAATTGTACATTGTACAACTACATGTACTGTAGTGGGACCGGTCGAGTGCTGTAATCGGCTCTGATGGACCCAGTTAAAAAATACCCGGCTCTGATCTGAACAAGTCACAGACGGTCCGGATCTCTTGGGCTTAAGTTGCGTGAACATGAGTATTATTTTCTTGCAGCCCACGTGTTTAGTGCGTAACTGCGTGACATTTTATTCATAACCATGTGCACCGATCAACCAAACAAAGGATTAATTCGTTTTCATGCTCCGGTATAAGTGACTCGTTTG